TTTTAACAGCAAAGAACTCCTCCTGTGTGAAGTCCGTTTGAGGACTGAAAGTGGTGGTGGTATTTGACAGTTAGGAGATCACTGGTGCAGAGGATCCGTGGAGCCAGAAGCCAGTGGTGTGGAGTGGAAATGAGGGGAGGCAGCTTAGTGTGGTGGTCAGCCTGCTCTCGTGGGCTCTCTGTGACAGCACACCCTGGGAGGCCACGGGGGTGAGAGAGCTACCCTGGACCACTTGGGGTGGAGCCCAGGGCCAGCCTGAGCTTTCCTCACAGTGGTCAGCTGCTTCCCTCTGTAAGCGTGTGAGTGTAAGGGGCACTTTATCTGGAGGATAGAGGAACACTATTTTGTAAGTAAGGAGCAAGCTCAGTTGCTGCAGGGTGATATCTGGTCTGGGAAGTCTGCACATTTCAGAGCAGAACTGGCTCCTAATCCGCTTTCTTCTTCCCCCTCGCCACCACATTCTCAGAGTCTGTACCAGCTGGACAACTTTTCATCCCTTCTCTCCCTGCAAATGTACAGTTTCTCTTTCTCAACCCTCACGGTCAGAGATATTGCAACTTCATTGCAAAAAGACAAAAGGCCACAAAGGGAGCAATGCAGAGACCCCCTGAAAAACCCACCTCACTAGACACTGGCAGCCCCTATCCCACCTGATCAAGAGCACCCTCAAAGTCAACCCCAGCCGTTACACAATCACCTCTTGGATTCCTAGCGGATGACTCCAACACACTGTTGCTTCTCCCACTTAACAGGAAACAAACCCTTGTTCGTGACCCTACTGCCCCTTCAGCTGCCATCCACTTTCCTGTTCTTATTTTTATTTTATTTATTTATTTATTTATTTGAGACAGACCCTCAAGCTGTCCCCCTGGGTAGAGTGTTGCAGCATCACAGCTCACAGCGACCTCCAACTCCTGGGCTCAAGCAAGTCTCCTGCCTCAGCCTCCCAAGTAGCTGGAACCACAGGCGCCCGCCACAACGCCCGGCTATTTTTTGTTTGCAGTCATCACTGTTGTTTGGTGGGCCTGGGCTGCATTCCAACCCGGCCCTTAGGTGTATATGGCACCTTAGCCACTTGAGCCACAGGTGCCGAGCCCACTTCCCTGTTCTAATGTGGCAAAATGTGGGCTTGTACATCACCTCCAGTTCCTCTATGCCTGTCTCTTTGCAGCCCCTGCCCCCATCAGGTCCTCTTTGGGCACCACTCCACCAAACTGCTCTTCTCAAGGTCACCTAGTGACCTTCAGGTGACTAGCCCCCACCTTCCTTACCTTATCACAGCGGCCTTTAACTCTGTTGATATTTACACCACAAAATTTATTCCACAAAGAATAATAAAAAATGTTCAAAATCAATCTTTTAATCAGTTTTTTAAATTAAGATGTTATGGATACATATGAAAGAATCTATGAGATACAGATATTCATATGTAAGTTAGGTACAATCTGTCGTTTCATAAACCCTCCCCTGTTCATCCACTATTGCACACCCGTCCTGCCCACCCTGCTGAGGCTTACACACATGGGCGTTTTATTCCCGTAGTTCAGATTAGGAAGGTGTTCGGGGCAGTCAGACACACATAGGAGGCAGAGCTAGGATTCAATACTGGTCTCTTTTAGCATATAATCCATATTTTGTTCAATAGGCATCACTCTCCTTAGGGAAGATCCAGGTTGGGTGAAACGTAAGGCATGTGCACTTTGAGGACTCTTTCTCCGAATGTAAAATTGTAAAACCAAAAGAAGAGTTTTTGGAAGGGGCCGGTGTAGGGGAAGGAGAGACTCTGAAGCCTGAGCTTTGTGATCATCGCAGTACATATGCCTCTACCCCGTCCCTGCACAACCGGGGGGACACACACTGCTTGTCTGTTGTTCCTTCTTTCAACACGTATCTCCTGAGCACCTGCTATGTGCCTGGCCTGTTCTGGGCACTGAAGGTACTAAAGAGGCAAAGATCCCACTTGATGGGGATTACTAAACAGAAATAAACAAATACATTATCTACAGCATTCAGCGTAGGCTAGAAGGTGACAAGAAATCTTAGAGCCAGGTGAGGGGACAGGGAACAGGCATGTGGGCATGGGGAGAACTGCTTTTTAAAGTTGTGTTGTCTGAGTAGGACTCGCTGAAAGGAAGGCCTGCTCTAAGGGCTGTGGTAGACATCCCAGCCTCTCTGGAGCCAGCTGGAGGAGAGTGTCCTACTGTGTGTTTACCGGGTACCTGGTGGACCTGAGCAGTACTTTGGCCTAAAGTACCTATGGCTGGGTGGACCAGGGCCAAAGACGATCCCACGGATAAGCAGCCTGCTGGAGATGTCTGGTCTCCCCTCCACAGTGAGCACACACCGGTGTGTGCCAATAAACCTTGGCCATGAACTCCAGCCACAGCAAGAGCTGTGGAGCCCAGGGGTGGCTGACTAGAGGCTGGGGTTCTTTCAGTCACTCTCTTCACTGACAGTGACAGTGTTATGAGAAGCGAGACAGTAAGTTGTTCTTCAGTAAGAAGAGGTGAGGGGCTGGCAAGGAGACCTAACTGAGAAAGGTTGTCTGAGGGGGGGACACATGTATGGAGCCCAGGTGCACACCAGCCAGGGGGCTCTTCTCTGCCTTGGGGGCTGCACGAGCCTCCAGAGGGTACCTGATTCCATCCCTGCCTCCTCAAACCCATACTTGCAACCCTGGGTTCAGGAAGCCCCGAGACTAGACGGCCAGGGCCTTACGTGGTCTGCGATGGTAGGGCCGGTCACGTGGGGACAGCTGTGAGCTAATTTTGGGAAGGGAAGCATCCCTGTCTCTGGTTGAAAGCTATGCAGAAAGGATTTGGGGGTTTCTTCTGCTATTGCCTGTTTTATGGTGACATCATCAGTGTGAAATATTTAACAACCTTTGTGGACGAGGCTCTGACCAAGCAACCAGAACATACCGATTAGCTGCACACTGCTGTGCCTGTCGGCTGTGTGTCGGCCTGGCTTGGTGCAGCTGACCTTGACATCCAGAACATTGCAGGTGCATCACACACAATTGTGAGTGGATAATTAAGTGAACAAGTGGAGGTGGGAGCTGGGGAGATAAGTCCAAGAACTGCCAACCGTCAATTTTTGGCGGACTATGTATGTGAAACCTCCTCAGGGAGAAGCCGCAGTGTGAGGGACCCTGTTGCTGAGCCAGAGACTTGGCCTCCAGCCCTTCATAACCAAACA